CACAAAATATTGTCAAATTGTTCCTACGGGAAAACGTCTTCAATCGTATAATAAGTTAGTTAACGGCCTAGAACCACGCCTGTAATCCATAAACCACCCTCTACGCTTTGTGCATTATATGGGTAAAAGCCTCGGTTCCTAACTTATGTATAGGAAACATACACTCCCATGAACAAAAATTTGTTGAATTTGATAAAAATTTGTGTGCACTTCATTTACCCGAAGTTATCTCAACTGTTTTTGGGTAAAATGACCATGACGAACAACATGGCATGTGTGTCATTTTCTCCTTCTGGTACAAAAGTCCTGAAATCAAGACTAACAATACAATTTTAATTAACCATTCACCAAATAAAAAGAAATAAAACGAAGTTTAGGGTGATTATTAAAGAATATTAATGTTACTTTTCCTTCAAGATTGTAGTATTTTTTGTGATATCTTTTAATTTCAATTTAAGTAACATCAATTCTTTTTAGTTCTATCTACGTTCTTTTGTTGTTTTCTCACAAGCTTTCATCCCTAAATATAGTTCCTGAAAGTAAAAAACAATTTTCGAGCTTATTAAGCAACGAAAATCAAATCTTAATAAAAAAATTTCAGAGAACACTCGGAAGTCGACCCATAATGCTGTGGTCACCATTAGAATTTTGCAACGAAATTTCGCCTGCCGAGTTTCCTAATAAATAGTCGATTTTATTGAAAAACTGTCAAAATCTGTACTCTTTTTTCCTAAATAACTAAACACTTTCTGTACGCTCCCCGGGGAAATGGCAAGTTTTGTCCCCCGAGAGTTTCAATATAGATTCGGTGTAGGACAAATGTGAAAGCTATTTAACACACAATATAATCAACACATATATTGTAATAACTTTGCAGAAAACATCATAATACAACAATTATCTCCTATATTAAAATACTAATGTGATAAAACTATGTTAACACGTCTTACAAAACAGAGTTCAACAAAGCACAGTGCAAAAAGAAAGTTGCCACATTATTTATTATAAGTGCTAAATGAATGAATCCCAACGAGTCTTTAAAATACTAACTGCAATTGTTCTGTTCCTATACAATACGGGTATTTTTCATTATGCTTTACAAATTGGCAGTTACCAACAAATAATGTCGCTGAATAGTGAGTGAAAGCTACTATATACAACTATTCAATGCTAATTTTGAAAATTGCTATTTTTTACTTCAAGATAAGATAACTCCTTTTTTAAAGCACGAGTAATCTCATTCTTCAAATGGAAGTTCGCTAATTACTATTAATATAAAAATTGGAGTTGAGTTATGTGGGATTCATTTATTTATAACATTTGAAATTTAAAAAGCAAAACGTAACTATACTATACGTAACATAATACACAACAATATGAAATAAATTTAATGATCTAAAATTGTTCACTACATAAAAAATAAAGCACAAAGGATTTAGAAATATGACATATTGAAAAAGAAAGACGTTGAAATTTTTTCATATTTTTCATTCTCATAACTTGATGTAGTTCTTTGATGTTGAAGTTTCTTTTGTTGTGAATGATTTGCTGACCATTTACATGAACTAAACTGATCACTTTTATTCTACAACCATCCATAGTTGAGATTTGTTTTAAATCTTCATGAAATGGTGCTGTTATGATCTTAATTCATTTCACACAGGTTATAGTATCATCCAAGTACATAAATACTTCAGAGCATGCGCAAAAGCGACCAACTATTATGATTTTTACGATGGCAGTGTGTTTGGAGGAAGAACAGCTTTAATTGATGATGCAATTCCAAAAATAACTTTTCATATTCCAATAACCACAATGCAATAAAATCAAATTTTTTTCATTCAATCTCATGATTACTTCTCCGTTATGTTCACATCAAAACGTCCATAAGAGATGATAATTTTCACGCTTCAGTTTTATAAAAATTGAACAAAATGAAAAAGGAGCTTCACCATTTTAAAAAAGGAAAAGTTCATATCTTCCTATTATGACCACAGATGACATTTCAATGAGCACGTGACCAGGTGACGTTACAAAGTACAACAATAAATCTAAACAGAACCATGGTACATGAATTTGTCATTTCTTTCATTACGTCACTTCCTGAAATAAAGCTTCTCCTCCTTGTACTATCGTTTGAATTAAGAGTAGACGATGGAATTTTATAGACAAGCCATAAACATATCAAACTTTGGCAAAGTAACTTGCAGTATGTCTACTGATGTTTCACTTGATGTTGTTAAAAATGAATTTCTATAAAATATCGATTCGAAAAATAAAAGTGTTCAAACTTTAACAATGCTTGATATCGATTTTTCATTAAAAGTTAAAAACTTGTCATTAAACATCCTTCCATATACAACATTATCGTTTGTTTTCTGTCTCTATATATTGCAAAACTTTCTTTGACTTTTGTTAACTTTTCCTGTTCATACGGTTTGGAGTGTTCCATCTCAATGGTTAAATTGTTTATCACGATGATGAATGTCAATCATTAGTCATTTTCTTGTGGAGCTTACGATTTACTTTTAAACAATCAGTGACTAAGACAGCCAAATTTTTAGTTTTTCTTGAAAAAATTAGCAAAGGTACCATTGTTTTATTATAAATTAACGTTTTTCAAATTGATAAAGATGAAAATATTCATATACCCGAAATAACAATTGGGCTGTCTTTGTCTCTCTTAACAACTTTACACTTAGGTATTTTTTATATCAAAATGCAATAAATAAAAAGTATTAAGAAATTATTTCAGTGCAAGATTGTATTGATTTAATTAGTAACAACTTCTTTTTGGTGTAAAAGAGTATCGAGAAACGTGCAATATTAAAACCATCCTACACTGAATACATTTGCATGAAAATTATATGTTTACATGGTGTAAATATAAACAAAATATAACCTATGGTACAATAACTAACAATAGTTTGCATTTTATATGTTTGTGTGATAAGATAAAAGTCAATAAAATTATTTTCTTGTGCTAGGTACATTAAAAGAAAGTTCGGAGCGTTCAGCCAAAATGGTTCCATTGTTTATCATGATGGTCAAGGGAGATTATGAAGTCAATTTCTTCTTAAGAATGCAATTTTATTTTTTCACACTCAACGGCGAAGCTATTCCAAATTTGTAGTTCTTCTAAGAAAACTCGGCAAAGCTGCAATTCATTTTGTTAATGAATTAACAACGTTCATGAATGATCACAAAAAAATATTTGGACAACAAAAGTTTGGGCTAGCTTCGTCTCTGTTAGCTATAATATCTTCATTGATATTTAGATATTTTACTATCAAAAGCATTTATTACCATAACTTTTTAGCTATTAAAGTTCTAAATTATTTTAGTGCAAGATAGTGTTGGTTAAAAATTTGTTTTTAACGCAAATAACTAAAAACGTACAACATGCAAAATTGAACAATCTTGCACTAAAACATTTGCAAGGTAATTATGCGTACAACTTCAAATTTTTCGTTTTACTTTTCTAGTATATAAAAGATTTTTTTAAGAATTGTTTTCCTAGATATAAGTTTAGAGAAAAATTGTTTTTATTTCTATATTATTGACTTGAGAGCAAAACATTCTGAAATTGCCCACATTCAGCGAACAGAAAAACAACTAAACCTACTTAGGTTTGCAAGCATACGTCTATCCAGAGAAAGAATTTCATAAAACGACTTTTTTTACAATTTGGTTGTTCTAACAGATACCTTATTTTGATGATAATGTTAACAACTAGATCATGCATTAAAACAAAAATTAGTCAATGAAAGATGCCAATTAAATATTAATGATTTAACAAAGAAGAACAAAAATGACTTTTGTTAGATAATGATTTTACTCAGAAAACAAACAATGTTTTTTAATATATCTTAGCAAGCATACATATAAAATGCAAATTATCATGTGAGTTCTTCTACCATTCCAAAATATTTAATGTAAAATGTAATATAGCTACAACAATGCTTTAACATGTAGAAAGAAAGCCTACAAAAAGCAGTGTAGACATAGAAGTACGTAAAACAGCAATGCTCAGATATACTTTAATTGACAACTAGCTACCAATAGTTTGCTGGCGTTGTAGTAGAACTTTTTTAATAATAAATCTGTGTTGTCGAAGTAAATTTCTCCTCATGTTTAATTTATTGTGTTTAAACGCAAAATTCGTTTGTGTGTTGCCCTGTTCTATATTATTGTTATTTAAGTTTCATTTTCCATTTAAGAATTTTAGTTTTCATGCGTAATCGCCCTTATTGTTGATACAGAATATTTTTCACTTGCACACGTGTCATTGCAATTGTGAATTGCATTTTCGATTACTTTAAATTTTGTTAATGATTGACTTCTTACCAATAACGAACAAAAAATGATGTAAATTTAAGTTGTTGCACAATGAAATCATAATACCCTAAATATGATCACCAAATAAATGAGATGTACTTTCAGCTAATGTAGTTGAGATCACGATGAAATTTATTCTCGGGGCAAGATGATTTTCGCGCAATTTACTGGGACTTGTAAGTCAGTAAATAAGGTAAAGACAAGTTGGCTTTTACGACAAAAATAAAAAATGCTCCCATGTTTATTGATAAACGGGTAATCTAATTTTATTTTTTTAAAACACTTCAAATCAATGAGCGTTAAGCGACTACAAATTATAAATCTATCATCAATAAAGACAAACTTACCTGATAAATTGCACTCATCTAAAGAATAAATAACTTGCATGGTTTTAATGTCAAAGACTTCCATATACATAAAGTTGTCACTCGTTAATAATTTATCAGCTGATGGTGAAAAATCTGCGTGATCAAAACTGTTAGTTACATGTATTAGCCAACTTCCAAGTGTGGACTTTTTACACTGAACAAGTGTATCACTCCAACCATCAACTAGTTTATCTTTGTGCCACAAATAGTAAGTTACATTGTTTTCAAATTCCGTTTTCGCAAACACATGATACTTAGAACTACATGCAAGTATACTTTGATGATTTTCAAAATTCACCGATAGCACTTTTCGTTTGTTTTCGATATCTAAATACACAAGAGAGTCAGTTTTTTGACAAGCAATTAATACCTCACTTACCTGAAAAATGTTGATGATATCTTTAACTTCATCGAAACTATAAAGAAGTTTTGTCAAATCATTATTCCAAAGCTCAGGAATAGCTTTTGTCGTAAGCAAAATGACTCCATTTTCTAAGGCGACCATGCCATTAACAAAACATTCCTTGTTAACAAAGTGTCCTGTGTTGAGATTGTTGACTATTATGCATGATTTTTTTTCGTCTCTCCGATACAGAAAGTTGCTATTTGAGCAAACTATCTGGTTATCAAGAACGAAAGATTTTGTTAAAATTGCGTGTGCCATTGGAACAAGATGAGAAGCATGTCCATAATCAAATAAAAGTATATTGTTATCATTCAATAAATAATAATGATATCCTGTAAAATTTATCAAAGAAACGCCTAACATGCTATCATCAAAGGGATCAAGCGGAGACAAACCAAATGTACGCTCAAGATCTAACCCAGGAGGTGCCTCTTGACTAGGATTGACAATGAAAACTTTGTCATTATCAGACAAAGCACAAGACCAAGAATGAAGACCAACAGTGGAAAGAATACGAAGCTTTCTATCATAATAGCGATAGCGCTTTGCATCATTTTCAAAAGGTGAAGAATCAAATAACTTATAATCCTTCGTTACGTCAAATGTTTGAAATACGTTTTTTTCATCAATAACACCCAAATATTTTTTTGAATTGGAAAAACACAGGGATGTCACATTGCTGCATATAACACTGTGCATCTTCTCACCTTTCTCAACGTCCCATACAGTCAAATTATCTTTGTAACTAGTGACCATTGTATACTTATCCTTGGAAAAACAACTGTTGGTAAAGAACTTAGAAGTTGAATGATCACAATGAAAAGGACTAGAGACAACTTTCCTGTCTACATTTAGAACTTTATCCAATCGGGAAACGAAAATCAGATCGGTGAAAGGATGAAAGACAACGCAAAATCCTTTCAACTCACTTAGACTTAGCTGATCAGATATATCTTTTATCCATAGACACCTGTTTGTTGTCAGAGAAAAAAGTTGCACTATGAACCCTTCATAACCACAGACGACATAGTCATATTTTCGCGATACATTTACTGAAATCAAGTTTCGCGCTAAACGTAAAAGTGGAGTTAATACAAAATGCGTATCGAGGCGCTCAACATAAGACTCTCTGAAACGTGTTTGAAGCATTGTGGAAGCTTTTGGCGCAAGATCTTTGATTTCGTTGATAACGTACTGCAAAAAAATTATGGAATTCATGAAACGCCTCGTAATAACACAATAAATGTCATTAAATAACAATCGAGTGCCCTCAGAAAGATGAAAGTATATGTTATGAGAGCTTATAAGACGAAAGTTTTCCAAAGTACGATGTCTATCAATCGATACAGAGGCAAGTAAAACATCTAAGTCAACAAGATATTTACCAACGTATTCAATGACATGATCATTATCACAAATAGCAAGCATATGAAGAAACCAATATTTCACTGAATACATTACTGACGCCCGTGTAACGAAGTTATTGTAGTCTACGTCGACAGCTTTGAGATTGTCTAAAGTTCTTGAACAAAACGCTAAAAGAACTCGATTACCGTCAGTAGTATTAACAGAGTGATTATGTTTACACTCGCCATCCAGCCAATCAGATAAAGATTTGTGGAAAAACGACACATGTCCTTCTTCATTGGTAGCAAAAAGGCACAACATAATTTCTTTAACCACAGATGAAAGGCAATTGAAATCAAGTATGTCCTCAACTAATTCCCGAGGAAGGGGTTCTTTAGCAACTGCTAATGCATTTAAAAGTGACTGAAATTTTTCTTTACTGATTTGAAATGAATCTAATTCGTCACTTATTCTTTTTATGGAAATTTCGTAATATTCATTGAGATCCTTTGGTATGGATCCATTAAACGAATCCTGATTTTTAATTTTACTGGAGAGAAGTGATGCAAGCAACATAAGTCCGTCAGACTTTTCTAGCAAATTTTTCTTAAGATGTGAAACTCTGTTAGTGGGGCCAGTTCTTTCTTCAATTAGTAATTTTACATCATTCAAGTTATCATCATCACTGAAATTGATGAAGAGCGGATTTAGTTTTTTAAATATGATATTACAATCTTTGTTAGGTCTTGTTGTGATTACAAAGTTAAAACAAGGCGGAAGTTTGAACAAATGATTATCTAACAAATCAGCCAGGAGAAGGCTTTCTGGATAACCACATTCATCTAGCGCATCCAGCATAATTAAAGTCCGCTTAGGAAATTTCGTGATTTTTTCAAACAACTCAGTAAAAAGAAAGGAAAATAGTCTTTCAACATTCATGTCACGCAGAGGTTCTGAGAGATTTCTTAGTGTGTCCTCTAAAAGTTCTTCATAAGCAGGAAAATTACGAGCAATTTGCCCAGCTAAAGATTGAAGAAGTACATTGGCATCATTGAAACGACTGTCATTGTGTTGAAAGAAATGAACTGCAGCGAAATAACTTGGATAACGCTTACATAAAGTAGCTGCAATTACAGACTTACCCATTCCAGCAACAGCAGAAATAACAAATGCACGATTTTGAGAAGTATTGTCTTCAAACCAAGCTAAAAACTCATCAAAAACCCATTCCCGTGTTCCATGTAAAAATGTTTCATAATGATTACTAATTTCACTCTCAAAAGTACAACTTACAAGGTTTTTGGTCAAAATATCGGCTCCAAATTCAAAACGGGGGCCTGCCTGTACCACAGGTATATTCATTATACGTTCAATCAACTGAATTCTTTCCTTGTTTAATTGATCTATTTTTTGCTGACTTATTCCTAAACGAGCAATTGGTTGGCTAACATCCTTCCACAAAATCTTAAAGTCACCTAAGCTAACTGAAGTGTTAGGTATGTGAGCATAACACTCATTACGAAAAAACCTGATACGGGTAATATCGGCTTCGGTTGAATGATCGGTGGACTTAGGTTTGTTTGTCCAGATAGGATTACGCGGTTGCTCTAAATTGCAAATATTGCGCAAAAGGACACAAAGTAAAGTAATGTCAAAATCGTTTTCATTAGGTAATCTTGGAGGATCTGGATACAAAAGAATCCATGCATCGTGCCTGATTATTTTTTTCTTTATTCTCAAAAGCTTTTTTCTATTTTTAGTGGTATTCAAGAAAAAGAATAATTTAGTACCTGACATTTGTTTTCTCAAGGTTATTCTCAAAGCTTCACCACCATGATCAACAATCAATTTTCCCAACATAAAAATGTTTGCTTCATTTTCTGACATCAAGGCGGAAGCCATTTCAACACCAGTAACTAAGAAAACAGCTTACAATTTAATGACAGATTTTCAATGACGTATAATCACATCAAAGACATATCGTTAGAATCGTAAATAGTGATTGAGAAATACTAATTATATATTCAAACATTCTTTTTTCAATGTGTGTGGTAGAGATTTGAAACTGTATAGGGGAACTCCTTCCTCACAGAATGTTGGTATTGAAAGTTTTATTTGTATGCAAGGGTTACAATATATTTTGAGATTTTTAAATTAGGTGCTTAATTTTGATGCCAAGATGTAAAATTTCCAATTTCCATCTTCCTAGGTTCAAAATTTTTGACACTTCTGAGATGCAAAATTTCTGACTTCCTCTGACAAATGTATTTGTATAAATCATTTAAAATAAACGACAAATTTTTTTAAAGCAAACATATTTGGCATACTTTATGTCATCTTCAGTGCGAAGTGAATAAATACAGGAAGTTTACATGATAATAAGTTATAGTGATAAAGCGGAAATATCGACTAGTTATGAATTTATATTAACAGTTGAATAAGGTGTTATAAAATGTTTGAGTTAGGTTTTATCACAAAAAAAATACAAAGAAAATGAAAAATATCTGATAAGGTAGGAATAGCTATTTACAGTTCAAAGATAGTGTTAAGATGTTGTATTTGTTGAGGTTGGGTTTACGCTTCTTGATATAAAGGGCTTCGTTGAGTTTAAGGGCGAAAGGAGGGTGAGCGGTGTCTAAGATATGGAAACAGAATTGTGTATAATAGTTTTTGGAGTGTGGTGACGAGAGTAAGTGTCAGAATATGTGTGAGTTTTTCTCTGTGGTGGTGTGTTCTTTAACCCGTGTGGAAAGGTGGCGGTTGGTCTCCCCAATGTAACTGGAATTACATCCAGCACAAGAAAATTCATAAGCCACGTTGGATTTTAAAAGAGTAGGAATAGGATCTTTGAAGCTAAAGTGATTTTTGATTTAAAAAGATGAAAAAACTAGTTTGATGTCTAAGTCTGTGCAGTAGCATTTTATTAAGTTGTGTGATTTCCGTTCCTTGATTTGTGAAATGTAGCCTATGTAGGGTAGTTTGAAGAAGTAAGTCTCGAGTTGGGTAGGTGTGGGTTCGTTTCTGGTGTTTATTTTGTTTGTGTTTTTGTTATGGTCATATGATTTAAGGATTTTTTCTATGAAAGGCGAGGGAAAGGAGTTTTGTTTGAGATTGTCAACGAGAGCGTTTAAGTCGACGTGTTGTTAATTTTCCGTATGCGGTCTATAAGAGTTTTAATCAGTCCTGTCTTATCCTTTTGTGAGGTGAAGCTAAAAAAGTTAAGTAATAGGCCAGTGTAAGAAGATTCTAACACTATCTTTGACCTGTAAATAGCTATTCCTACCTTATCAGATATTTTTCATTTTCTTGGTAATTTTTTTTGTGATAAAACCTAACACAAACATTTTATAACACCTCATTCAACTGTAAATAATTATTCATAACTAGTCGATATTTCCGCTTTATCACTATAACTTATTATCATGTAGACTTCCTGTATTTATTCACTTCGCACTGAAGATGACATAAAGTATGCCGAAATATGTTTGCTTTAAAAAAATTTGTCGTTTATTTTAAACTTGTTATAACCATTGTGCTCTTACGAAATTATTGTATAAATCCTTTTCCAGCCGACAATTTCTTAAAATAAACGACAAAACACACTGCAGAAAACGTTATCTTGTAAACACAAGATTCGACTTATAAAAGTAAGAGACAAGATTCAAAGCATTATTTCGACTTCATTTCAAAGTCATTATCAAGCTAAGTGATTATTTACAAGCATGCGTGATTTTGAATAATTGTTACAAGGAAATGACGTAGGAAATGAAAAGAAAGAAAGGCGATGAAAGGAGGTTAGGAGCTTGCTCATCGCCTTGCTTTTCCTTGATGCGATTTATATAAGTTTCAAACAGCCTTAGCTAAATTCTGGACTAAAGGCTTCTGAAGAACTTGCTATTTTTTAATTTCATTGATGTAATTCTAGACAGTAACACCTCCTTTCATCTCCTTTCTTTCTTTTCATTGCTTACGTCATTTCCTTGTAACAACTATTTAAGATCACGCATGCTTGTCAATAATCACTTAGCTTGATAATGACTTTGAACTAAAGTCGAAATGTTGCATTAAGGCCCCGTCCACACGTATCCGGATTCGTTTGTATCCGCAAACATTTTGTTGCGGTTACGCTTATCGTCCACACGTATCCTGTGAAAACGCATGCTGTAACCGCAAACTTTTGAAAACGGTCTCCAGAGTGGAAACTTTTGAAAACGCATTAAATCCGGATACGTGTGGACGCACTGTAACCGAAATGATTAAAAAACGCTGACGTAATTCGATTATCTACCCACACAACGATCCTCTAAATTTTCTAATCCAGTCCTCATTTATCCTGCGTTATCCTACCGTTAAAATGGCCCCTCAACAGCAAGCGATTCTTTCGATTTTAACTGCGCTAATTTCGAGCATTATAGCGTTTATCCAATTGAATATTACCGTCGTAAATTATCAGGAAAGCTATGAAAGAGAGCGTGCGGCACTGATACGGCTGCTTTCAATACCAGTAGCCAGAAATGTGTCGTTAAAACGATTAAATAAAATACGCCAAGCACGACCTCGAAGATTTTGGGTTAGACCCGGACGCACAAGCGCTTGGTGGGAAAGTTTTTTGAATGAAATAGTTATTCCTGAAGAGTGGAGGGAAAATTTTCGTATGGGTCGAGTCTCTTTGTACAGGTTAGCCGAAGAGTTAAGACCCTTCATTCAAGGCAAGGACACCGTGATGAGAACATCAATCGACCCTGTAAAACAAGTGGCAATAACTTTATACTATTTGAGTGACGAAGGTCGTTTACGGAAAACGGCAAATGCGTTTGGAATTTCAAGGCAGACCGTTTCAAAGATCGTAAGAAAAGTCTGCAAGGCAATAACGGTTAATCTGGGCCCAAAGTACATTAAACTGCCGTTTACAGAAGAAGAGGTGAACGATCTCGTAAAAAATTTCACAGAGTGCATGGATTTCCTCAATGTTTGGGAGCCATTGACGGAACTCACATTTTAATCAAGCAGCCACGACTCAACTCCACTGACTACATCAACAGAAAGAGCTGTTACACCTTAAATGTGCAAGCAACATGCAATTACGATTATTGTTTTATGGATGTCGTTGTTAAATGGCCTGGAAGTGTCCATGATGCTAGAATGTTTTCAAATTCCAGTCTAAGTGATGCCCTAAAGCATGAAATATTCCTCCATGCAGACGCCAGATCCTACCTGATGAAGACCCGATTCCTGTCTTTTTACTTGGAGATCCTGCATACCCACTGATGCCGTATCTAATGAAAGAATATTCAAGCGGTGGCTCAACTGCACAGGAGCAATACTTTGGTATGTCGTTGTGCCAGTCTCGAATGGTCATCGAGTGCGCCTTTGGTCGATTGAAAGCCCGTTTTGGTGCTTTAAGGAGAGCTATGGACATAAATCTGGATGACCTTCCACAGGTCATTTATGCTTGTTTTGTCTTACACAATTTTTGTGAATTAAATAATGAGAGAATTGGAGAAGACAAAGTTGCAGCTGCAGTTGATTATGATAAGAGTTTCCAACCAGTTGTTTCCAACAACAACTTTAGAACGACTGTAACGAAGCAGAGGGAAAGAAAATCAGACGGACACTAACAAAGTTCTTTGATCCTTGAACATGAGCCAGCATCAGCACAATATTGATGGATTTCAGTAACTTACTTGTTTTTGTGTTTATGCATTATCAATTAAATAAATACTTTGCTTACTTCTTTGTGCCTAATGAAAAATAACATCAGCAGGCTTCTCTTAACTCATAGAAAGTAACTTTATTGGGGCATAACTGTGCATAAGCCATTTTCTATTCTTTATTTACAATATTTTGAGAATTGAAATTTTATACATTTGTAAAATAGATTGCCAACATCTGCAAACAAATGAAAATCAGTCAGTTTGGAGCAGCTATGAAACTTACCTAACCAAACACAGACCTGATTACTTAAGATGCTACAAACCACATTTTAGGTATACTTCTGATTCCACAACATTAACTGTGTACCTTCTAGCTGTAGATAATTCAATGATGAACAAAACAAGAATTAAAGAAAATATTTAAGACAGTTATACGTGAGTAAAAGCAAACCATGCTTTTATTTATAATTCTTACACTACTGCACTAAAATTCTCATTAAATCAATCTTCGTTTTCATGCTGTATTACTCATCTAGTGTTCACAGAGTTCAAAAGTTATCTGGCTGAAAATGCAAATTCTGTTCATAATCGTTGTTGAATGTTTCATTCTCCCTAATCCTGTTAGTTTGGTAATGATTCGGCATTGTGTTGTATATACCAGATTGATAATGTACAGGTGGTACAAATTGAGAAGACATAGCAGGTGGTTGCTGCATAACTTGCCGGAGCATTGCAAAGCCTTCAACAATGGAACCAGTCAACTGTTCCATGTTTGAAGTTAACCTCTTCATGTTTTCTCCCTGCTGTCTGTCTATATCATCCATTTTTGAAAAAATCCTTTTCTTCATTTTCATATCTTCCTTGGCAATATTGAGAAGTTGAGCGTCAACAGAGAGTTTTCGTTTAAGTTTGTCTTGTCTGTAGCTCTTTAATCTATTATTTAGTAGATCTCGTCTTTCCTTTAGGGAACTTGAATCTTTTAGTGTTGGATCTTGTTCATCATCGACTTCCAAACACTCGTGCTCATTTGAGGTTTCACTTTCCCTGCTCAGTGGAGAGATGGACCTTGTGGTAGGGATATTTTGTTGGTAGGGTTGGGAATTAGGAGTGCTGGAAGAAGAAGGAGAGCTAAATGACAAGTCAAGTTCTTGTTCGTCACTTATTTGACTCGTTTCAATGCCATTTTGTAGCGTGGTTGTAGCTGGCGAGCCACCCCATATTTCCTGGCATTTATCAAAGAAGAGAAGGACAACTCTTCCATGGCCACTTTTTCTTCCACTTTCGATGGCAGCGCGAAACTTCGAGCGAATGGCTTTCATTTTGGACGTCAGAATAGCTTTTGTAAGCTCATTTTCTTGATGCGGAAATTCCTTATCAAGCTGAATAGCGTTTTCAGCGGAAGGATATTGTGATATAAACAGATCCAAAATGTCAGCATACTTTGACTGGCAGGTTTCCCATTCGAAATTTTCTGACGTTTTCGCGATTTTATATTCTAAAACGACGCTTAATAGAAGGCCCACTTCATCATCTGTCCACACAAAAGCTTCATTCTTACTTTTTTTCTTTGATGACCCCGAAGCAGTAGTTTTTGTTGGACAATTCGATATTTTACCGTATGATCGAAGCAATCTCTAGTAAAAAATATTGCGTGCTCATTATTCGTAACAGCGCATGCTCTGTAAGCAATAATTGCGTATTTGTATCGTTTTCGCGGCTACGTGTGGACGCACAAAAACGCACCGAGTTCGCATACGTGTGGACGCGTAAAGTTTTGAATCCGCAACAAAATTTTTGCGGATACAAACGAATCCGGATACGTGTAGACGGGGTCTAAATCTTGTCTCTTGCTTTCATAAATCGAATCTTGAGTTTACAAGATGATGTTTTTTGGAGTGTGTTTTTTCCTTTAATGTATTGTATGTTTACGCTCATTCGAAATGAACGAAGAGGTATGTTCATAGATGGCACTCCCATTTACTAATATAATTCATTCGCATGTTTATTATATTGACAATGACAAGAGAAAAGAAGCATTTATGTATTTCAACTTTAATGAAATCGATGTCATTGTTTGTTACTTGAAAACGATTAAATTTTGTGCAACAGTTAGTTTATTGCATAGTTTACTGACAAATTTTCGGATCCTAGAAAACGGATCTTGGGAGCACAAAAAAGTGAGTCTCACTTGTCCATCTAAAAAATCGTATGAAAATAGAGCTTGTTTCATTTTCATCAAACAAGATCAAAGAAAACTGACTAGTCAAATTACATAGATTTGAACAAGAACAAAATACAAAAAATATATCGATAAATCTTCTGGATAACACAAATAAAAATATCTAAACGAACATAAATATCAAAAAAATTAACCGACCGTCTGAGCAAGTAACCAAATTAAAGTCGGGACCGAAACAATCAGATACGACAAATCGGGTCGTGTGAACGGGTTTATGTGCATAACAAACGCAAGTCATGAATTTTCATCGCTAAGAATATATTTTAGTGTTAACAGCAGAGAACGCTGATTCCTAGAGAACATAATTCACATTCAAGTGTGCATATACAGAAATAAAGAATCCCTGAGAACTCAACAGAAAACTTTTTCTACGAACATCTACTTTTAAAAGTGCAATTCTACTTCATTTTAACCGCTACATTTAACCTGCAACTTGAGACATAGGGTCACTTTTTCAGGGAGGAAAACAATATATCAATAACGTCTTTGGAAAAGAGCTTATATGCTAACTAAATTCGGGTACCGTAAATTTCTGCTTTATTTTTGTTTCTAAACAGTAAGCTTTGAATTGCTTCGATGTATATTCTGCTCCATTATCGCTTCTCAATTTTCAAGGTAATCCTGATTGTGCTACGTACTCTTTAAATTTTTTGAATGCTTGTGATTTCATGCTCATGAATTTAACGACTGCATACTTCGAGTATACGTCCACAAAGGTAATTGCATATCTGCATCCACTTCAAATGGACCAAGAATATCTGTGTATACCAGTTCGCGTGGTTTCTAGGACTTATTGTGAGCTTCTTTAGGTAGAGGTTTGCATGATTGCTTTCCAAGTGCACGTTTCACACACTTTCTTTAATTTGTCTTCCCAGTTAACGGTGCGTTTGACATAATTTTTGTTCAAATGTCCGAGACGTTGATTCCACAGTTGAAAATCTCATTTGATTTCTCTTTTATTCTGGTTGCTTTTAATGAAATTACAGGAGCTGGATCTTTGGAATATGATCTCCAGATTAAATAAACCTGCATTTTTGTTTAGAGCAATTTCTGGACCATGATTTAACATCAACTTTGCTTCACTCTTTTGAATACGAACTTATGTTCAAATTTGACAGCTCGGTTGACGGAGAGTAGGTTTACTTCATAATTTGGCACATAAAGGACATTTCGCAGTACCATCTCTACTTCTTGTCCATTTTTCAATAGAAGCTTTACTGGTACGTCACCAATACCTTCCATATATGTTAATTTTCCCTTTGGAATTTTATCATTTTTGGTATTGCATGGTTTTAAGTTGTCGAATAGTTCCTTTTCAGTAATGATATGATCTGTGCAACCAGTATCAATGATGATATAATTCAATCTTCTACTGTCACTATTTATTCCAGTGCCACTGTTCATGCATTGAGAGTATAATGAGAATGAATTTGGTCTTATTGTTGAAGGTTCTTTGGTTTTACTCTGACTCCTACATGCTTTCGATAGATGTCCCTTTTCTTGCACTTTGAACAGAAAGCAGAACTTCTTTTACTACATTGCTTGGCAAAATGACCAGGGAGTCCACAAACATAACAAGTTCCTTTTTGCATCATTGGGGCTTTGTTTTTGCCTGATGCATTTCCAGAATGCATTGCTATTGCGCTATCTTCTTCTTGCTTTCTTTGAATCCGACTATCCTCATAGTTTTGTAGTCAAGTTCTCAGTTCTGAGAAGTTAGCTGCTGGATTAAAACTTTCTTGAACCACGAAGTGTTCAAATTTTTCTGGAAGTCCATTAATGACTAGAGCATTAAATAATGTTTATGATATATTTTCTCTGGCTTCGGTGAGTCGAGACATTAATTCTTGTGATCGTATAAAGTATTCGGATAACTTTTCACTTTCACCTAATTGTAATCGAGATATTTGTCGAACTAGACTTACTACAGTTGGTTTTTCTACGTTAGAAAATCTTTGTTGCAGTAGACGCCACGCTTTTACTCCATCTCCGACACCATCTGGCGACAGGCAGTCATGTCGTATGTATTAAAGACTGTTGTTGTCAAGAGCTGATGCAATATGACACCATACCGTGTTGTTCCCACAGATCTAATAATACACTAGATAG